CATATGTCTACGTTAGTCACATTGTAAAGAAGAATTAGAACCAAAGGGAAAAAACATGAGGAACAAAAAAAAGAAATAAGAGAGAGAAAAGAGTATGCTTCGATCTGCCTTCAGACTCCCTAGTTCTTTCTCTGGATGTAGATAGCATCTTCCTATCATGAGTCTTTTGGAATTATCTTAGTGCATTGCGTTGCTGAGAAAAACCAAGTCTATCAAAGTTGATCATTGTACAATGCTGCTGTTACTGTGTACGATGTTTTCCTGGTTCTGCTCACCTCATTCAGCATCAGTTCATGCAAGTCTTTCCAGGTTTTTCTGAAGTCTGCCTACTCATCATTTCTTACGGAACGATAGTATTCCATTACATTCATATACTACAACTCGTTCAGCCATTCAGGCATCCCCTCAATTTCCAATTCTTGGCTACCACCTAATTGTCTGTTAAATGTGATCTAGTGTTCACGATATCATGATGATTATGAAGGGCAACACAGTCACTTCCTACCATCCAGACAGATTGACTGGCTTAGACTATTTAAATAATTTAGTTTCAAAGAATTTTAAATTAGGTGTTATCTGTTTCAACCACCTAATGCTATAGAGATTAAAATGAGGCTTTGAGACAAGTCCACATAACTATTTGGTAACTGAGCCCAAAGTTGAAGCCAAGTGTGTTGACTCCTAATGCATTTCTACTCAACTCTGTGTTGTAATTGGAATTAGATCAGACTAAATTAGAGTTAATATTCTTTGTATTCAGTCATCAGTAAATACATATCTTTAAATATTATTAATAAAATACCACCATGCCCACTAATATTATAACTCCAAACTTTTCTCTCAAACCCATTAAAATGTACCACTGAAGAGCCACTTATATTTTCTTCTTCCATTTATATGGAGACACCAATCCTAATCTACAATTAAAACAGAGGACGTTGCCTGTGCTTCTTAAACTTGAGTGAACTTTCACCTGCCATTACTTTTAGTCTTTTAGGAGCAATAGAGTTTCAAGATTTGGGGAAAGATGGCTAACGGAGATGAATAGAGTTAGCTCCCAAAGTTTGATGGAGTGTATATAAATATCAAAACTCACATAAAATTGTCTTAAGAGAAACACGTTGTGCAGCCACTTTGACGTGTTTTGAATAATTCATTCCTACATCCAAGCTTCACCGAAAACACCCATACCTTACCTTGTTAAAGTTTCCATAAATATTTCATCTTAATATAGGGTTAACTCAATATTCTAAATTCAAATTAGATGTAAAAACAAACAAAAAAAACTTCTCACTCTTCCTTCACAGCAAGCCAATTAAAAAAAACAAACCACAAGATGAAAATAAAATGCAAATATGTAATTTACTTCTGAGCTTAACTTTTAAAGAAGCATAATTCAATTAACCTGGGAATTGAAATTTTATTTCTATTCTTTGTCAGACAGTTCCTGTAGAGTTATAATAACTAATTCATAAAGTCTGAGCACATTGTTCACAGAATTATGTGATAAGACCAAGTCCTAAGTAAAGAATTGTCATGGACTACTAGAGTATGAGGAATCTAAGGCTGAATTCTCAGCATACATGATAAAGTCAGAACTTTTGGTCCTCAAAAGTATTATCCTTGGTGGAATAAAAGGCTTGGGAAGAGATGAGAGCAAGGTGAAATAACTTTCCAATTACTTTGGGGAGGGCTTTGCTTTTATGCCACTTTTCTGGAGCATGTGAAAACAATTTCAGAATTAGAATCACAGATTTCTTCTGAAATAAGGCCCTCTTTATTAAGAAGAATCAGATCTAGAGGAGCCACTTCCTTCATTTCCTTCATCATTTAATGAATGAAATTATTGCCAAGGAAAAGCAATAGTTCTTAAGGTAGGTTTTTTTTTTTTTAGCAGAAACAACTTCAGAAGTTTAGATAGCTAAAATTTCCTATTACTGCCATATATCATTCATGAATGTCAGATTTATGATCTGAATTCATCATCCATTTTCTCCTTCTGGATTGGTACTCTGTAACTACTATCATAATACAGAGTGTCTCAAAAGTCTTCATGCAGTTTTAAGCTTTAATTTTACTAAATGTAATTTTATTAAAACTTTTAAGTTTAATAGCTTAAAACTACACGAAGATTTTTGGGACACCTTGTATATCTCCTGTTTCTCCATCCACTAATCTTCACTCAAAGGTTCTTTGCCATGTTTCCCATTCTGATTTGTTGTTCTACTCACAGCAGCTTTATCTATTATATAAGATATTACTCAGGATCACTTTTAAAAAATCTAATCTGTTCCTTTTGAAAAAAAATAGAATGACTTATCTTTCATATTATGGTCAAGAATCTCATTTCGCCAAAACTCAGTAATAGTTATGAGGTTGAATTTACCTCTTTGTAACATGGTGAGATTTCTAATTCACTTTATGAATTAATTGCACATTTGCATAAAGCCAAGTGAGGTCACAAATATTAGTACTGTCTTTCTCTTTTTGGTTAGCATGTTCTGTGAATTACTGCACCTCTCTTCTGATTTCTTCCTATGTTGTCATTATTATCACATAACTTTTGTTCCTCAATGGATAAATGGTCAAAGGTTGTGAACAGGCAGTTTTTTGATGGAGAAATAAAAAACTATATATAGTCACATGAAAAAATGTTCTAAATCATTATTGATTAGAGAAATACAAATTAAAACAACATTGAAATATCATCATACCTATCAGATTGGCTAAAATGACAGAAGAGAAAATGATGAATGTTGGAAGGGATGTGGAAAAATTGGGACAATAATACACTGTTGATGGAACTGTGAACTGATCTAACAATTTTGGAGGTCACTCTCAAATTACGCCCAAAGAGTTCTGAAACTGTGTATACTCTTTCACCTAGCAATACCACTATTAGGTCGGGTTTCCCAAGGTGAACAAGGAAAAAGGAAAAGAACCTATCTACATGTTCTAAATATTTATAGCGGTTCGCTTTGTGATGGCAAAGAACTGGAAACTGAAGGGATGCCCCTCAACTGGGGCATGGTTAAACAAGTTGTGGTATATGATTGTGATAGAATACAACTGTGCTGTAAGAAATGAAGAGCTGGTTGATTTCAGAAAAACATGGAAAGATTTGCATGAAATAATAAAAAAAACAAAATGAGAGCCAAGAAAATGTTGTTTATGGTAACATCAATATTGCTGTGAATGACCAAGTTATTCTGAGTATTACCAATACTTAACTACAAAGGACCTATGAAGGAAGATGCTATTCACTTCTAGAGAAAGAAATGATAAATAGAAGTATGCACTATATGGTTTTACATATATTTATATATCTGTGTCTAATGGTAGCCTTCTGTAGTGTGGGGAGGGAGGAAAGGGGATAGTTTAGAACTTGAAATGTAACAAGAAATTAAATTAAATTAAAAAATAACATTTGGTTTAGTGCATATATGTGGGAAGTTTATTCTCTCTTCATTTTCATTTAAAAACCTCTTGATTTGGTCTATAAATCTTTAGGCAAATATTTTTTTTTTTTGGCGAGGCAATGGGGTTAAGTGACTTGCCCAGGGTCACACAGAAAATATTTTCTTATTAGATGTAATCTATTCCTGGACAAGAGCCTCTTATTCCTATATATTAAGCCAAGGTACAGAAATCCAAGTGCAATTCTTTGACAAAATCTTCTTAGCAAGGTATTCACCTGATGGTTAACACGGTAAATTGGATAAAGCGTTAGACTTACATCTAGAGAACCTGGTTCTCATCCTGCCTCAGATATCGACTAGCCCTGTGTTTGTGGACACAATAGTAAACCTCTGAGAGCCTGGAAGGACCATTTTCCAGGATATATTTGATTTGCAATCAGTAGATTCCTGTCAATGCCTTAATGTAAAAAGTGTCATCTGATAAAAATCTTCAGAAAAACAATTTCCTCTAGAGGCAATATTGAAACATGCCATCCTTCATTAGGCAGAAGACTAAAAACTACAAATGTTGAATGTCGCATTTTCCCTGAGATGTGAATACCTCGGTAGCTGGTTTTCCTCAATTGTTTTTCTTCATTACAAGAGAGTTCTATGGAGTTCTAGGGTATACTGGGAAATGACCATTGTATAAAAGACAAAAGGAATAAAATAACCTGGAGGAATAAAAAGAAATACAACTTTCAGAAACTTCTTTCCTTTTCCCTCTTCTCCTCTCTTCTTACTACGTCTCTGAAATTAGAGGTTGTCTACTTGCATCTTGCTTCTTCCCTGTGGAACCATTCCCTGTTCTGCTCCACTGACTAAGGCATGTTTTTATGGTGGACTTTCTCTATTGGGGAAGTGTCCTCAATTTGGGGGCACAGAACAAATTGTATTCTGCTTTGGACATCTCACAGGCCTAACAGTGTCTTGAACATTGCAGATGTTTAGTGAATGTCTGGGGATAGGTAAACAGCAAGATTTTAGCTAATAAAATATTTTTGTTTTTTTTTCCTCCTGAATGCTCATACATTCACAGAAAGAGGGAATAAATCTGAATTAAAAGTTGTTAAGTTACATTTCCAGAACACAGAAACAGGCATTAGAAAGGAGAATAAGAGAACCGATGAAACCTATTTCGTTGTACAACGAGTAAGCCACTGATGTGTGATGGTTAGGTTGATTTATGGTACCTCATATAATCACAACTTGCCTTTCCCCCACCCCCGCTGAGTTTTGCTCATTTCTAAAGATGCTACTTTACAGCTGAACATAAAGGGACAAGATGGGGATGCTCCATACAAAATGTTTTCTGAAAATGGCTGAAATGACTAGAAAATCTTCTCAATACCCAACAACTTGTTTTTAATACTATTTACTCCCAGTCAGGGGCAGCATGCCAGAAGTGTATATATTGCTTTAGTAATTGTGGCTGGAAGTTTCCAAGACTTAATACACTGTATACTTCCCACAGACAACAAGCAAAGTAGAATTCACAGCAGTAAACAATTGAATATATCATTTTATTTTCAGAATTGTTACCTTTTAATGTAGCTTTCTTAAGAACCTTCATGGCATAAAGCTGTCCAGCATCTGAACCCTTGATCTTCCTTACAAGAAACACCTAAGGAAAGAAAACATCTGTAGTCATTGGACAGACAATTCAATAAACAAGGTCTATATCTGCTGGAAAGGATAGGCTGAAAAACAAGCATCTCCAGTCTAACAAGAAAGAAAGGATTGAATTTATTAGAAAATTACTAAGGATTAATGAGAAAAATAATGAATCACAGATTTCCTTAAATCTTACTCTAATTTATATCATTGTTTTAAATACAGTTACTCATAATGCCACTTACTGCTTATACTTTGTGGTTTTAACAAAGAATTTAATTTCTTTCGATTTTTTAATTTAAAAATGGATATTGGGTCAGTCAGTCAACAGGCACTTATTAAGTGTCCACAGTGTGTTAAACACTGTGTTGAGCACTAAAAATAAAAGGAAAGCAAAAAAAAAAAACCATCCCCCAAAATAACAATAGTTCCTGCTCTCACAGAGTCCACAGTCTAACAGAAGACAGCATGCAAACAACCATGTACAGACAAGATGGATATGGGTTAAATTGGAGATAAGAAGCAATGAGAAGGCATTAGGATTAAGAGGGATTGAGAAAGACTTCCTAGAAAAGGAGGAATTTTAGCTGGGAATTGAAATAATCCAGGGACAGAGATAAGGAAGGAGAGAATTCCAGGCATGGGAGACATCCAATGAAAATGCCCAGAGTCTGAAGATGGAATGTCTTATGCATAGTGGAAAACGAATGCTTCTGGTATGACAAAAATCACCTGGAGCCGGAATCTGAGGGTTAGAAGGGACCTTAATGGCCAATTAGTCCCTAGAAAGAATCCCTACCACAACATTCTCAACAAGTGGTCATCCAACCCTTTCTTGAAGACTTCTCATGAAAGGGAGCCCACCACGAGGCAGCCCATTCCACTTTGGGGCAGCTGTTATTGGTAGGAAGTTTTTTCCTATCATTAACTCTGAATTTGTCTCTTTGGAACTTTTGCTCCTTGTTCTGCTCTGTGGGACCCAGTAGCACAAATCTAATCTCTTTTCTATTTTAGCACCCTTCAAATACTTGAAGACAGCTATCATGTCATCCCTGAGTTTTCTCTTCACTACAGTCAAGATCTCCAGGTCCTTCAATAGATAATTATATGATGTGGATTCAAGGCCCTTCTCCATATAGGTTGTTCTTCTTTGAATATTTTCTAATTTATAAATGTCCTTCTTAAATTTTGGTGCCCATCATTGGATTCAGTGCTCTTTATGTGGTCTAAGGATCACTTCCATTTGTATTGTCTTAGGAAGAGTCTGAAGATTAGATGCCAAGATAAGGTACTGGACACTGAAGTCCTCTCACCAGCTGAACTGCCAAGCGTTCAAACTCTCTTGCGGAGAGATTATCATCTGTTTATTCCTCGATGCAATGCTTTTGTTATTGTTACCCAAGATCACATTAACTTTTGTGGGCTATCATACTCCTGACACCTATTTGAGCTTAGAGTCCACCAAAACCCCAAGATATTTTTCGTACAAACTATATTTTAGATTAAAACCTGTACTTTGTCATTCACACCATGTAGCATCAAGGCACAACCACTTATCTTGGTGCTCTTTACCCTAATTACATGATTACAGGGGACTGATGAAGAATGGTATCCACCTCTTGAGAGAGATGATATGCAGAAAGACTTTGGACATAGATAATGTGGGAATTTGTCTTTCTTAACTATACATATGTTACAAGGCCTTTCTTTTTCTTTTCTTTTGTTTTAGTGGGTGGGAGAGAAAATAAAAGGTCATTAATGAAAAAACCATGAGAGTGATGGTGAGACAATAAATAAAGAAAGAAAATCATATCAATGAATGTTGGAGAAAACATAGAGAAGAGGGCATAAAAAAGTTCAGAAAGAGACACTGACAGTCAGGTCAGTGTTGGTGCTATCATGTTAAATTTATTATGTCATTAAACTGTGCAATCTCCTTTTTTCTCTTATACAGTATCCTTTTTATCTCTACCTTGTGTACGAAAACGTTCAGATTTGTTTATGTTTTTATAGTTAATAATAAAAAACAGACATTCTTATTAAAACAAGTGGGGCCTTCCTTGAAAAACTCAAAAAGCATGAAAGGGCAATAAAAACCACAATCCCACAAATGGAGTTGAAAGTGATAATATTCTTCCACATTATCAGACCTATGGCATATCACCACCCATTTGTGTTACATATTGGATTTCTATCTCCTCTTGCCTCCTCTCTCCTATTTGTATAATTTTGAAATAAAACCATGGGTAGTGAAAACTGTTTTGAAATAACACTGGGCAATTTTAGTAAAAAGAGCCATTCAATCCTTAGCACCTAATAAAGGCAACTTTTGATAGGCTTCCACATTTCATTATTAGAACTGTCATTTCAGTAACTCAGAATGGCACACTGCAGGGGAATTAGGCAATTAATGCAATGTACAATATTAAGCAGTGTAGGCTGTATGCCATATTATCTTTAAGTGCACCATACACTAATATGTACAATTAAAATAAGCAAAATTACCAACCACAATATTACCCAACTCTAGCTACTCTTCAGCTATTTCTCAGTAATGGAAGATTGCTGTTGATCTGCTGTCTCCTCCAAAGCCAGTAAGTCTACTGGGCATTCTGTGTTGTTTCAGAGGATACTAACTAATTACCATCTCCTCTAAAAAAGATTAGCTTAAAGAAAGTGAACCTTCATATTGCACTAATTAAGCAGAATAAGGAAACTGTGATCTGCGTTCTGCCCCCCCCCCCACTGAACAGAAAATATTTCCTACACATATGTGTTATTTGAAGGGCACTAAAAGATTACCCGGCCCCCAAATATTCCTCAACTGAAATGCTACCATTAAAAGTCATTCTCATAGGAATACAATTTAATTTCCCAATTGGTTGACATTTAAAGGATATGAAAAGGCAATATTTAGATAAAGAAATCAAAACCATTTTTAGTCATATGAAAAAATGTTCTAAATCATTATTGATTAGAGAAATGCAAATTAAAACAACCCTGAGATACCATTTTATACCTATCGGATTGGTTAAAATCATTGAAGGGGAAAGTGACAAATGTTGAAGGGGATGTAGAAAAATTGGGACACTAATTCATTGTTGGTGGAATTGTGAGCTGATTCAACCATTTTAGAGAGCAATCTGGAATTATACCCAAAGAGTTATTAAATTGATTATACCCTTTGACTCAGCAATACCACTAGGTTTTTTCCAAAGATGACTATGGAAAAAGGAAAAGAACCTATATATTCTAAAATAGTTATAGCAGCTCTCTTTGTGGTGGCAAGGAACTGGAAATTGAGGGGATGCCCATCAATTGGGGAATGGCTGAACAAGCTGGGGTATATGAGTGTGATGGAATATTGCAGTGGTACAAGAAATGATGAGCTGGTTGATTTTAGAAAAACATGGATAGACTTGCATGAAATAATGAAGAGTGAAATGAGCAGAACCAAAAGAATACCGTATACAGTAACAGTAATATTGTTTTAAGAATAACTTTGAGTGGATAAGTAATTTTGATTATTATAAATACCCAAATTAACTACAAAGGGCATATGAAGGAAAACACTATCTGCATCTAGAGAAAGAACTGATAAATAGATGTATAGAATTATTTTACATATATATGTATGTATACACACATATTTGTGTCTAATGATAACCATCTCTAGCGTGGGAGGAGAAGGGAAGAAAAAAAGGAAAAGAAAAAAAAGAAATTTACATGATAATCTTATTTTATGTTTTAAAGGAATAGCAAGTTGTACATAATAGATTTTCAGTTTCATGTGCAATCATATTTTTAAAAATTATACTATGCTATGGAAATACTTGTTTTACCCCATAAACTAAAAATAAAATAAATGACAATTTAAAAAAGTTATCCTCTTTATTAAAATATGAGTTGTTCCCTGCATCCTTGTTTAAGAACAAATATGTAGGGGGAAAGGACAATGGAGATGGGAGAGGGACATCTTCATGGATTATTCTAGATCACCTGATCCCTCTGTCCTCTAAACTCCCACAAAACTTATTCTTTGGACTATTCATTTTGATATTAAATCACATAATGCCTTATATACTAGGGTGCAATAGGACCAATGGATTTGACATTGATCCCCCCAGAACTCCTAGATTCAAACATCAACTTTACCTCTTGCTATCTGTGTAGCTTAACATAAATGGCCTAACTTTTTGAGCCCTAGTTCTATTTTCTATAAAATGGGGTTATTAAAGGTTACACTATCTGCTCAATACAGGTACTGTCAAAAAAGTGATTTGTAAATTTTAAACTACCCTAGAAATCACTTTATCATTATTGCTTTTTAAAAGTTTCATTTATGTATGTTTTGTTGTTTTAACTAGGTTAGTTCTTTGAGGACAGAGACTTCTCTTTTAATCCCCAGAGTGTCTACCATGGTTCTGAGCACATAATAGACCCTTTCTATAAATGTCTGTTGAATTAACTATGTTTAGTTCCTTATCTGACCATGCATAGCTATGAATGTTCTACCTCCTTAAGTCTTCATCAACTCATTTCCTATTTCTTTCTAACTTGGACTCCAGAGATTAGCAAGAGAGTGTAAATGCTGAAGACAAAAAGAAAGTCATTGATTTGGGCCAAAGTAGTTAAAAAATACAGCTTTCAGAGAATTGAGACATAGAGTGATAAAAATAAAATAGGAAAAATCCAGAAAGGATACAACTGTAACCCAAAGAATGCAGTAGTAACAAAAATAACAGCTCTTGTCTGCATAGGGCAACTGGGTGGCACAGTGGGTAGGGTGCTGGACTTGGAGGCAAGAAAACCTGACTGCAAATCTGGCTTCAGGTGCTTACTAGCTGTGTGACCCTAGACAAGTCACTTAACCCTGTTTGCCTCAGTTTCCACATCTGTCAAATGAGCTGGAGAAGGAAATGGCAAATCACTCCAGTATCTTTGACAAGAAAACCCCAAATGGGGTCACGAAGAGTTGGACATGACTGAAAAGATTACAGCACTTATGTA